CCCCCCCCCCGCTTAGAGCTTATTCCCGTTTTCAACAAACAAGAAGATGTCTCACGTGGTTTGAAGTGCAGTACCAACTCAATGCCCCCTTATCTTGTGATAGCGCCTAAAATTGCATTAGTACCTTCAGACTTGTGATGGTATTATACCAAAGGGATAGGTCGTAAGACGAGATCTACAGCCTTCATGTAAAAAACTCAGCTGGCGGTTATTGACAGTCTTTTAGGTTTTTTGTTCCGTTTGTTTCTTTTCCTCTTTCTATTAACCTCGGAAAAGCATATCCTTTTGGTTCATTTGGCATGAGTCACACTTCCATGAGGGCCAGCGTTTCTGTCCTCGCACGACAAATGTATACAGCCAGAGCCATACGCCGCCTCAGTGTAATGTCATAAAAGTAACTTATACTCTGAGCATGCCGCTCTTCTAGATTTTCTAGCTCTAACAATTGCTGCTATTTCTCACAACTACATGTCCTTTGTTCGTAGTCATTTCGAGAAAACGAAGATAAAATGTGTCACCTGCTTTCAGCTGCCTCTCTGATGAGCGCTCGTTATCCGCTGTATGGCGTGAACGATGACGCACTATGGGCTCGCGGCAGTGCGTTGCCTGAGCCTTCCCGAGGCGCTTCTATTCAACCGCTTCATCCCAGCATGCCCTATGCCACCTATCCGGGCACAACCACACATACGACCGTCGTCCACTCGGCAATGAAGCCTGTTGCTGATGCTGATATTACAGGTAGGACAATTAACTACTTGATCAAAGCACAGGTGCTGGATTGTACGAAAGTTTAGCCCCTTTGAGAACGAGCATACACATGTGTTCTTTCGAGCGAAGTGCAGGCAACGCTTTGCTGTTCCCGTTCAATTCAAACCCTCTGCTCAGTCGTGTCGCCGTGGCCCATACGGTATCACTGTATCAGCAACATTAGCTAATCAGCAACATTGGCAAACAGCGACAAGCAGGGCCAACTGTGCGTTGTGCAGTTCTCCAACGACGACGGCTTGAATGATCGAAAGGGATCGTATTTTTGGAAGTAGAAGGGATCGTGTTGACGGCGTTTCGTGACGATTTTGGGGAAAAATTTCATGAAAGAATGAAGGGCTAGGAAAAACTGGAGATTTTCCGTTTCTCCAGACGGACATATTCACCTTGCCTGCACTACGCCACGGGCAGGGTCGGTCCTATCGTTGCTACTTTTCCAAAAAGTTTTTACGCCCCCCCCCCTCCCTCATGAAATATTTCATACGACCCCCTCTTTCAAAACAATTTTTACCCCAAAAAATTACCGTCGAGGGGGGGAGGGGGGGGGTATATACACGCGCTGAAACAGCAAATTTTCTCCCGCGCCGCTCCCCACTCATCACATGCCACTTCTTACAACCGAAGCAAGTACGACCCCCCTCTACAAACTCACCAAAATACGACCCCCGTTGCTACTTGTAGTAGGTTGACCCTGGCCTCGCACCCCCTCCCCTCCCCCATCCAAGCGACTTCCATTCAACAAGTGTCGAAGTTGGGTTCTGCGTCGACTGGTCCTATTGCTAGGGTCAAATGCTATAGAAACAGCCATGATGGTGAGGGCGGTGATCGGGGAAGAGGATGGGAAGTCGTGTGGGCCTACGCCTTAAGGCTATTGTGGTGTGTGGGGGTCGTGAATTTATTTTAAATCTGCGGCAACGGCATGTTTGGTTTACAAATAGTAGTCTTCGAGGTTGGAGGCAGTGGGTACGATGAGTTTGTCGCCCACTGAAAATCAAAGTAGAGGTGACAGGAAGAGCAGCACTGGAAAAAAAAAGCTAAGGGAAACGGCCTAAACGTTCGCAAAATGGAACCATTGTTCTCCGCTGATTTCCGCATTGAACAAGTCTCAACAATGCTGCCTTTATCGACTTGAACGCTTTTTTTCTTTTCGCTCACTTAAAATGGCCAGAGTCCGACTATAGGGATCAGCAGCTGACCGGCAACTGAAGGACGGGCAGAGACAGGAGGGCGTCCGGAGGGAAGGGTAAGTTCAAGGTCAGGGTTAGCTTGTGAGCGCCCCTCTCGGCGCAGATGCTCCACTGGAGCTCAGCCTTCCTTCATAGCTGACGAATTCCTCCTCCACCTCCCGCTCTCCAACCTCCAACACAGCATCTTCAGGCAGGCAGCTTTCACTGTCTTGTAGAGCATAGAGAGCTGGGTAGAAAATTAGCCTTCTGTAACCTTCTGGTTACTTTCTCGTATGCAAAACTCTGCGGACATACGAGACTTATTGAATCTGTTACACCGCATACTTACAGTATGTTAATTCTTCCGAAATAAATCCCTGGAACATCCATCAACGCACTCGATTAGATGGTCATTTGCACCATGTTACCTCTTCTTCCAACAGTATTTTGGCGTTCGCTGTAACTTTGTATTATTTCAGGGTAGGAAATACGGATGGCGAAGCGCGAATGTCCTCTACTTTTTATTCTTATTCTCACTATAGTAATTGTTCTCAATCTAGCGTTAACCGCATGGATTATGTCGGTGCTGGATTTCTCTACGGTGAGCTTTCTTTACAGAGAATGGCCGTCATTTTGAAATTATTCGTACTCATATAAATTCCCTGGTGTAGATGGCTTAGAGGCAAGCGTTCCCACTTCCCATGCGCGCGGTCCCAGTTCTCCGGCTTTCTCGTCCAGAAATTGTCAAGCCTGCTATTTCTCCCAGGTCGGTGGATTATTAGCAGGCTCGTTTGGTGTTGAGAAGATACAAAACTGACTCCTACATCGGTCCCCCCCCTAGTCATTGTATAGGTCATACCGCATTCAAATACCAGCACGATTCCGAATGAAATTGGAATGCGTAGCACATCCGGAAACAGATTGACCAACATCGAGTGCATTATTTTTTACCCTCAAATATATCCTTCATGAACCCCATTGTACCATCTCTCTCTGTATATCTTTGAATAGAAAACAAATGGCAGTCACGTTGAAGAATCTCAGACGGCCGTTGTTCGGTAACGGGTAGTGTAAGGGTGTATGGCTCGAATAGGCTGGAAGCAGCACGCCACTGTGGGCGGGGCGCCAATAAAGATAGGAAAATGAAAGAGACAAGAAAGTGGGCAGAAATCAGCAAAGGAAATCAGGTCACCATGGTGAACGAGCCGTGCATCAAATCAGGAGGAGCCAAAATCTGAAGTTCCGGCTGTACGTTTCGTATCATCGAAGCCACGGTATAGTAGAGTTCGTCTCTATAAGGGAGCCGATATGTTTTGCTGTGCGAGCCTAATGGCCCAAAAAATTCGAATCCCTCAGAATGCACCTCCAAGAGTTCCGAAATCATGGCCTACTTTCGACAGATGCGCCGTGAATTTGACTCAAATCTGAGAAAACACTGTCAACTTTACCCTTTTATAAGCATAGCTACTTCAACAAGCAAGCGACATTCATGTTGATGGTAGCGATTGACTCATCTGATACTTTCAGGATGGTATGGGTGCTTTAAAAATACAAGATGATGGTATTCGAGTGGAAGGTAGGGCTCAATTTGACAAGCCGGTTACATTTTCTCATCTCAGCACCGAGAAGGTGAGGTTTTAATTGCTTCCATCATTCAATTTTGATTTTATTATCATGCTGCTTATGAGAAAATTTTGGTTTAGTAATGTTCAAATGGTTTTCTAAGCAGTACCCATTCGCAAAAGGTTCTTGCGCGATCGCTAATGCCGCGACGCCTGGCGACGCAAAGCGGTCGCGAACCGCTTTTGTCATCCCATGATCGGACACATTATGCATTTCGCTTTATGATACCCAACTACCATAACCTCCGTCTCTTTCCGAACAAAGCCCAGCTTGAAAGTGGAACAGTGCGTTTTACGCGTCAGCAGAGAGAAACGATACGAATTAGACTTTCAAAAAGGAACATTCGATGTTGCTACCGTATCTGGAATACGGGGAAGACGGCCGGCGCGGAGCGCTGAAAACTCAGCAAGGGTGTAGCCTGCTTAAGTGTGGTGAAGGGAGGAGTGGACGGCGATATTACTTGACTGACATCGAACAGTGTAGATGTGGTGAGCGCACTCATCGCTGGTACGGAAGCAAGCGGCGACGCAAGCGCCAGCTGCCCGCTAGCGATGCGTTACTACGCGCCGCGTGTTTGACAGATGTGACGGTTTGGACGATTGGCCAACTAGGCGCGAAAGTGGCAAGTGGCGCAACGACGAACCAAATTGGCCTCATCGAATTACGCTCTGTTCCAACCAGGGTTGAATATTCAGTGGTCGAGTGACCATGAACCGCCTGCTTTCACGACACCCCCTGCCCCCCCAAACAAACAAACGTCGGACTCAATAAGACCCCTTTTCGTCCTCTCCACGCAATCCGGGATCATATCAAAATGCTTAATTTCAGATGTGCGAGAGACGCAGCCACCGCTGTCGGCGAAAATGCTCCTTGGGCAAGCTGCATTTCTGCTCATTACTAGCTTCCCTCTTTCTTTATTATACATTTAGCCCTTTGCCGCATTGGCCGGAAAGTAGAACATTGAAGGAGGTACTATCCCTACACAGTTGAACAGTCTCGCGCTCCAGCATAGCGGCGCTAACTACCCGCGAACGCGTCGCGCGCTGTGCCTGGAGCGCGCTAGTTGGAAAAATCGTCAAATGATACCTCTCTGTTTGAAGGGCTAAACTTTCTCGGCTCGAAAGTTCTTTCAGAAAATGAAGGCAGCTTTTGTATGCACAAGACCTCTAGTTCTTAATTTGTGCTGAGCGTTTTTCCAAGCATATCTTTTCTCGAGAGTTGGAGACGTCGAGGAATTGTCGAGGAAATTAAAATTTACATGCGAGTTTTCACGCTTTGAATGACACGCTTGCTGCTGCAGTATTTGATGATGCTAAGAAGGCTGCGAATCTGCCTGTTTTGAACTTTCTACCAAGATGCTGTTCTCCACTTAATTCTCAAAGCATGTACATCATTCTAGAGTAGATACCTTCCCTACGATTCTTTTGCAGGACGCGTTGCCTTCCTATGCCATACTGATCACTACGAACCAAACCAACAACACTTTCCATTTGAATTTTAATTCCAGACAGTTGTAAGATATTATTTGCATTAGGCTAGTACAACGCTTGTGAAATGTAATGACAGCATAACTGGTAGCAGCACCGTTGTGTCCGTTGATGAATTTTGTGATTACGACCCCCCCACCTCTCATCGTAGCAAATACGACCCTCTGTCGAGGAATTCCTCGACCGTTATTCACTGGGTGTCCCCCAAGAGGCCCATCGCGCGGCGAAGGAACAGACGCAGATGCGGCAAAGCACGAGTTGCAGCGCAACACTGCCAGCGGTTTAGGCGTCTGTGTTAAATAGAGCCATCATGTAACCTCCCCTTCAAAAAGCGAGAAAGTGTCGGGTGCAGACCAAACACCACAACTGACGACGGCCTCCAAGTAAATCTGGTTAGAAGTTGTTCATAGTGATAGCTGATTTCTGGTAAATGATAGTTGTAATTAGTGACAATCGATAGAATACAACTGCAACAGGCTAATCATTTCATTGGCAGAAAACATTAACATTTTGTGAAGGCCGTCGTCACTTGTGGTGCATGGTCTGCACCCGACACTTTCTCGCTTTTTGAAGGGAGGGTACGTCTCCATATCGCATAGCGCTCGCTGCGACTCGTCCTTCGCCGCATCTGCTCTGTTCCTTAGCCGCGCGATGGGCCTCTTGGGGGACACCCGTTATTCACCCTGACTCAGACGTGGTCACATGATACGACCGTGGCCTAAATCGCAGATGCATGGGTCTAGCTTTGGGCCAAATCGTTGTTCACTGTCAGCACCATTTAGCAGCTATTTTGTCAACAGGAAATAGCCACCACATTTACCATCGTTATTGATTTTCAGGATGAGGCGCTCGTGATAGATTCATTCCGCGGTATTCATATGCAAGCTCGTAACTCCAGTGGTCATGTCTCGGCACGCATGTCACTTACAGCCGATGGAAAAACGCAAGCAGTTTGCGATCGATTTGAGGTGATTCAAGAAGTGCTACCGATCAATACTTCGCAAAAGCGAGTTTGATTAGAACTAGAAATTTGCGTTCAAAGTCAGCGCCAGGCTGCACGATCGGTGAATGGGTGTGGTTCGCTAGGACAGAAAGATGAATTTTCTGCTTTTTCACGCGAATTTTTTTCGTGGCTGGAACCCCAGGTCCACTCCTGATCAGTGGGTGGACCTGGGATCCTGCCGCGAAAAATGTTTCGCTCTGCGAAAAGCGGAGAATTCACTTTCTGTCCTAGCGAACCACACCCTTGGTGAATCGGCGGATTGGAGAAAAAAATATGGATTCCCTGATTAAAATTTTCTGAACCCTTTTTTCAAGACTCCAATATTTGAATCTCTGTCATGGTTTCTCTAATCCTCTTCACCTTTGCGTATTCCATTCTTTCGCGCATTCTTCAATTTTCCGATTACAAAATTCGGCGTTGAGCATGAACGCATTCTAGCGACTCGAAGAACGTTTTAGTACAGCATGGTCTGCACTTTAATCGCTTAAACTAGCAGTGGATCCCGAATTCAGTGGAATTATGAGCTGTTCAGGTATTTGATCCCGACAATCGATTATTATTCTTCGCAGACTCACAGGAGATCGGTCTCAAGTTGGAGAACCTTCGTATCTTAGGCAAGTAATTTTAGTTAACTTTCTTCAAATGGTGTGCGAAGTGGGGCTCACGATTTCTAGTTGTTGTGGTCAATGTTTTATTTACTTCATTCTTTTTCTTCGTTACACTTTTCTCTGTAGCTATTTTCGGGCGGCATAGATGACATCGAGAATGGCAAAGCGTTATTACAGCAACGCGCAAAAACGGCGTTAGATGCTTTTGGCGTCTTTTATTAGTGCTTCCGAAGAAGTAACTTGAAATCGTGCACGGAAACTTGTTGCATTTCTTCCGTTCATAAACACAGCGTCGCTGTTCATTTCTCCTGTCATGTGTGAGCGCTAGGTTTGGCGCACAAACTCCACGCATGAAAATCCAGTTTCCGTAAAGGAACAAGGAAGAGCCTTCAAAATCCAAACGTCGGGGACACAGACGGACCCTTGAGTAGGGCCGAAGAAGCGCTTAGAGGGAAGTTCATAGAACATGCGTAGTAATAGAAGAAAAAGTCAAATTTTCCCTGGTTTGCGTCACTTGTGGTGTGTGGTCTGCACTTGACGCTCTTCTCGTTTTCCAAAAGAAGGGGTACGTGCTGGCGGCAACGTACCCTCGCCTTCAAATGACCAGAAATTGTGCAATTGCAGAAATATGACGTCGTGGCATTAAGAGTGGCATCCGACGATTCAAAGAACATTTTGAGCAAACGTGATGTGCTCAAGATGTCGTTTGATCGATGCCGTTATGCCACTGTCGTCACGTATTCAATTTCAAATGCAATTGCAACGAATTTCTGTGTCATTTGAGCGCAGAGGGTATGTCAGTTCGATATCTCGTAAATCTGCTTTGGGCGTGTATCACTTAATATGACGTGGCGCCAGAGCCACTATGAGCAGAATTTGCTCGCAATAATTAATGCTTCCAGTACCTATGTTGATATCTGGCGTGAGTATTTTATCCACATCAACATCTATTGCAAGTCGGTTGGCTGCGAATACGTAATTTCAGGGAGACCTGCAATCACGACTATCGAGATATCTACTGTAGCGTCAATTAACTCGTGAAATATAACAAACAATTTATGTAGTGACTAGAGGATTTGCTATAGAAGAACTAACACGCTAAAGGATAGGGCATGCATTCGAAGTTAAGCTCTGGAAGGAAGAGACTTTTTTTTTTCAGACCGCAAAATTTTCAGTTTGCATGGATGGAGCTCCACGGATCCACTCGACAGTCAGTCTGTTCAAGGTCTGCGCGCGTCATTTCTACGCTGAGTAAAGCGAAAATAGTTATGCGGCGCTGGGATTGCTTTGGACTGAGATATGCGACTTTTGCGACTCTTGTTTCAGACAAAAAATACGTATTTCATTTCGAGGAAACAGGTCTCCACTAATAGCCAGTGAACTAGATCCCCAAAGCAAAAAAAAAGCTCAACGGGCCGAAAGTGAAGATCGTTTACTGTTGGGAGTGAGCCTTGCCACTGCGTGATACTTGCGCAGTTTCAGTCCACGGCGAGCGAACCCCCCCACACCGATTTCAAAACGTATAGGTAGTAGGCGTGGCCCGGCAGCAGTCCACGTTGAGAGATGTCTCGGCAAGAACGGATGAAGCTGCTTTCCAACATACATCACTGGATATCAGCGCTAAGCATGCTGGCAAACAGCTGATATCTCATGCCACTCTCTATCAATGCGGCAGCAGTCCACGGTCATTCGCGAGTGCCTACCCCAACTCACTGAGTGTTTGGACTATGGAGCATGCATGTATTTCCTACCTGCAGGAACCTCACGACTGCGAATGCAGCTATTAACTACAACCGCAGTTCATCTGTTATTCTGATTGCGCCATCAATTAGTCGAATAATAGATCATGATTTTATGAATAACGATTTCAGATGATGGCGGTAGTGTATTTGAAGGCGCGATCCAAACAGCACTTGTGCGCCCTGAGCCAGATACTCCTTTGAGGTGAGCTTCATTCTGAAACATTGTTCTCGTGTTGTGTACTCCGGATTATGAGCTATCCATTCAGACTAGAGTCTCCAACCCGAAGTGTTTCCATCGATGCAGCACAGGATATTGAGCTGATGGCTGCTGCCGGTGAAGTGAGAATTAACACACTTCTGGATATTGCCATATCATCGAAACAAGTACGTTTTAACTACAAGATCTCACGCTTATTCTGATGGCTCTCAAAAAAAGTGTGGAGGTGGAAGTTCCACTAAGACAAGTGCATTAATTTTGAGTTACTTGTTTTTCCTAATTCTCATGTTTTTTGAAACAACGATTTCGAATTACCGGTAACATAGAATGGTAATTGCGTTACGTTTTCTGATTTCTCCTACTAACATTTGTTTGTGTTCTTTTTCAAGTTTTTTTTTTCGTTTTTACCCATTCTTGAAATTAATTCCGCTTCACTCACGAACTAACTCTTTGTGACAGTGCATAACTCAGCATTCTTGTCGTAGTGTTTTCACTCTCTTCGAAATCGTATTTCCATTTCATTTTTCACTTCTTTAATTTGCTAGCATATTTTTCTTTTACAATTCAGCCACGCTGAGATTTTTCGATCTTGGCAATTCCATGGCTAGACATCGTGCTTAACTAACGATTGCGGTGAACGTGGTGCACCACTACATTATACTAACTACGTTACGGAAACCGGTTGCATTGTTCGCTCAAAATTTGTGCACTTCCCGTAGTGTTTCTTCGCAATACTATAATTTTACTTCCTAATTACTTTTGTCTCTACTTACCAGAAAAAGGACTGCTCCTGGTGTGGCGCCTACTCACAATTGTCATCTCCATGAATTCCAATTTTGTGGCATGATAGTACTTGGAACGCTGCATACCGTTGGGATTGCATGTTAGTTAGAGCACAAAATATAGAGCAGGGGATGAGGATTTCATCCAAGCTTAGGGGATATGAAGAGCTTCGGGTGAGCAACCAAACCAGCTCTCGAAATGCTAAATCCTCTTTGGTCCACTGTGTAGAGTAGTGTTGTCTACAGTTATCTCTTTCATTCCCAGCCGCGGTTTCATACGAAATAAATCCTCAACCTCGTAGCTACAACTGTGTTGGTATTGTCGCCTTGCGCCAGTAGCGGAAGCCAGGTCAAAATACTGGTTTTACAATTCAACAGATCACTGAATTGGGTCTTATATCAGTCGTAGCATTCCGTAGCTTCAGAACAAAATTTTGCTTGTGCGTGGATTGCGCTGTTCTCTTGCTCGCGGTTTACGCACGAAAAACCTGGGTTCTACTTACATGGCCCTCTCGCTTAATCTGCTTGACCGTGACGGTAGATAATATTTCACTTCGCCGAAGGGCATGATAGTGTGTGAAACAAATTTTATTTCGAGTTTTGTCTACTGTGAAGATACATTCGAGGAAGTCCTTTTCAACCTTGGTTGAAATTTATTGTAAAAGGTGGCATATGTGTTTTCATAGAGGGAAAAATGGTGGTACCGGTCGCCTAATGTAGTATGTGCCAACTTGTCTTAACTAGGGGTGGAGAATCTGCAGTCTCTGGATTCTAAGCTCCAATAAGTTTATTGTATGGAAGGTCTACAACCACGCGAGTGTTCGGTCGTTGGTGCTTTCCTCAGTTACAACTCTGTCGGATTGTGTTCGCACGGCGGGTTCTTTGTGGCTGCGTTCCTTTCGCTGGACGTTCAGTCAGGCCGGATTTTCGGAGTTGCGGACGGATGCGGAAGATAACTCTTGCCAATAACTTGCTCGTCGATTTGTGTACTGTTTAGACTGTTATTTCCGGTAATTTCGATACCGAGGGGTCGTGTAAGCAATGTTTGGCATCTAACGTGGCTACTCTTTCTTGCTGTTTGGTGTTCAAAATTGCTGATTGGTAGCCCCTCAGGCGTCAAGAGAATAATAAGAATATTATAACGATATTGCAGACCTATGAATAGAAGATATGTAGTATGAGATTCTTATGGGATTGCTGAGTTATGGACCAGTCAGAAACCTTACCACATATTATCATATTATCATTATATTAACAGAAACAGTTTTTTCTTCTTCTTTTCTATCCATTTCCCGGCATTGATCAGTCGAAAATCAGAGATGAGCAGGGATAGACCAATTGTAGAGCTGCAGAAAGCAGAAGCAGCCGTCTGGCTCTTCGGGGGCCCATTGCAGGACACGTTAGCGCGCTTTCTGCGGGTTCGTGTAGCTCGTAGATTCCAGCTTTTCACGCATGTCAAACGACTCACTCTGCCCCCTGAACTTCCCATATCCCCCTGTCTCACAAGTGACTCTTTCTACGCTAAAGTTACTAGCATATCGCCGAGATGACGCAGACATGCCGTGCTCCGCAACGGCCACGGCCTCTGCCCCCTTCCTCCCTAACTACGTTAGCACCTGGTAGCGATAAAAGAAAGTGTTTGTGGTGCTTCTGAATGTGCTGCATGTTCTGAACCATGACGCCCCCATCCCTAATCACACTCGAGCCCGTTTGATTTATATCGAATACATTTAACGGGTTCTCTGATTCTCCCTAAGCGTGGCCTCGAGGAGTGTGCGCAACTGTTAAGGAATGCTCGCATGGAGTAAGAAGGAAGAAGAAGACACGAAACACGCATTAGTCGTAGGTATTTGCCCCCTGTTTCACCGTAGCCTGGTATGTCATGTTATGAGAGCTCTTTTAAATTTAATGACTCAGGCGCTCATTCCCATGCCGTGCCGTTATGTTCTCCCATTCGCTTTCTCCTGGCGGAAAATGCTTCCAAACATCATAACCGATTTGGGGTTAGTCTGCTTTCATACTTACCATGGGTACTAAACAGACAGAATTTTCTCACCTTTTTGAGAATTAATGTTATGTGTAGAATTTTGCTTATATGTTATAATCGAAAAGTTACGGTGCGGAGATACTTTGATTTCCTTGACAAGTCTAACAAGTAAACGTTGGAGCGTCAATTTTTTATGGCGCAATATAAGACTGCAGAACTTCTGCAAACAAAAAAGAAAACATACAAAGCAAAAAAACTCGAATTTCAAGAGTAAAATGGGTCTTCTAGAATTCGAGATTACATGGAAAAACGAAGTGTGCAACTTCCGAAATGGATTCAATACTGCCATCATCGTGTGTAGAATGGCCTTAAGCTTCAATTCCGAACATCTCTGCAGCTCTGTCGCCCATTTCAGGAGTCTGAAACCTCATAATCAATGTTTCTAAGGCTTTATCCGCTGATTATAAAAGTCAGTAATTGTGACGTCTACCCACATTTCCAGCGCGCTAAGAGGCTTGTGGTCTAACCGTCTCCCAAATATGGTCAACCGTGTGTTGCGCAGTTCTTAGCGAGGGGGGGGGGGTGGTCGTACTTGATTTCCTTTGGAGGAGGGTCGTATTTTGGTTTGGTGAAGACGAAAAGGTCAAAAAGGGGGTCGTATTTGTGGAAGTTGTAAGGGTCGCCGCGGTCGCAGAGGGGTACGGGGGTCCTTTTTGACGGGTTCTCTACCAATTTTGGTGAAAATTTCATGAAAGGAGGAAAGAGGGAAGGATTCGAGATTTTCCATTTCTTTAGACATGTTTTTCAGCCATAATTTTGACGGTGGTAGTCGGGGATGGGAAAGACGGGGTCGTATATCCGAAGACTCTCTCCCAAAACCGATGGTGGTTGTGAGGGGTCGTATCGAACCTCTATAAAAGAGGGGAGTCGTGTAGAACCCCCTGCAAGAGAGAAGGGGATGGAGTAAGGGGGTGGGGTGTCGTCAAACTCTTGAAGTCTGCGCAACGCACGGTTAACCCTGCTCCCTTGCCCTTCTAATGACGGTCCGCGGACTGAGTCCACCTCCCGGCCATCACAGTTGCCTCCAAACAACCACAAAAACGTTTGTCATTGCAGCGATCGCGGTAAATCCATTATTAGCAAAAGAGAGTGAGATACCTGAGCAGCCTCGGGTACTTTGGCGGTGTTGACTTCTGTAGGTGGTTGCTAAAGATCGATTGAATAGTTTTTTTATAAATGTCACCCCCACAAAAGGTGATAGTTTTGGGACAGCCCAACATTCGCCTGATCATCTAGAGCAAGCTCAATCGAATACAACCACCTGGAACAACAGGAAAAGGTCGTCATGGAGTGGGGGAAAGTCCAGTTCGGTACAGCCTACATTCCAAAACAATTCCTCTTATGCCCAATGTGTGTATACTGCCCACTAGCTTTCGCGTGCTCAAATTTTTGAGCATACATTGATGAGCTCTCTCTGTGACATTCAAAGCAGTGGTGGTGACTTCGGTCAACTTCCATAAGGAATAATCACCTGATTGACCTTATAGTTGGTGAAATGCTCAGTTTCTATATCAGGCTTATTTATTCTAATGTTGGGTTGACCTTGTTCGACACAGTTAAACTTAATTGTAAAAAAACTCACTGCCGTTTCCTGCTTGGGAGACTGAGCTGCGGGTGGTTCTTGTGGCTGTTGCTGCTCAGTTGACTGTGTTGGGGCTGAAGAAGCATCTTGTGATTGGGTTGGTGTCGCAGAAGGGTCCTGTGGTTGCGATGGCGCACCCGACGCCTCTTTCTGCTGTTCAGCGGGTTGGCCGGACGCTGCCTGGCCTGGTTCCACTCCTGCTTCTTTATCCTGATCACCTGACTGTTTAGGCGCCTCACTTGCTGCTTGTGGTTGATCTGAACTGCCGGTTGCATCTTTTTGCGCTTCTTTAGGTTGATCAGTCGGTGGAGCTGACTCCTCTTTCGGTTTATCAGCTGATGCAGCTTCTTCCTTTGGTTTATCTGCTTGAGCAGAAACTGCCTGTGATTGACCAGGTTCCACCTGTGATTCTTTGTCCTGGTCACCTGACTCTTTTGCAGGCTCTCCTCCTGCTTGTTGTTGTACAGTTGCAGCTGCAGCTTCCTTCTGCTGTTCGGCTGTCTGACCTTGTTGTTCACCACCTTCTTTTGGTGCTTCCTTAGGTTGGTCACCTGGTGGAGCTTGTTCCTCTTTTGGCTTATCAGCTGGAGCTGCTTCTTCCTTAGGTTTATCAGCCCCAGCAGCTTCCTGCGCCGAGGGCTCTTTCTGCTGTTCAGCTTGAGGCGCTGCTCCCTCTTTCGGTTGCTCGGCTGCCTTATCTGCAGCTGCAGGAGCTGCTTGCGATTGACCGGGCTCCACCTCTGCTTCCTTATCCTGATCGCCTGGTTCTTTCGCGGGCTCTGCTCCTCCTTGTTGTTGGGCTGGTGCAGCAGCAGCTTCGGCTGGCTTGGCTTGTTCAGCACCTTCAGCTGGCTTGGCTTGTTCAGCACCTTCAGCTGGCTTGGCTTGTTCAGCACCTTCAGCTGGCTTGGCTTGTTCAGCACCTTCAGCTGGCTTGGCTTGTTCAGCACCTTCAGCTGGCTTGGCTTGTTCAGCACCTTCCTTAGGAGCTTCTTTCTGTTGATCAGCTGGAGCAGGTTCCTCTTTTGGCTTATCACCCTGAGGAGCTTCCTGTGGCTGAGCTGATGGCTCTTTCTGCTGTTCTGCTGGAGGCGCTGCTCCCTCTTTCGGTTGCTCGGCTGCCTTATCTGCAGCTGCAGGAGCTGCTTGCGATTGACCGGGCTCCACCTCTGCTTCCTTATCCTGATCGCCTGGTTCTTTCGCGGGCTCTGCTCCTCCTTGTTGTTGGGCTGGTGCAGCAGCAGCTTCGGCTGGCTTGGCTTGTTCAGCACCTTCAGCTGGCTTGGCTTGTTCAGCACCTTCAGCTGGCTTGGCTTGTTCAGCACCTTCAGCTGGCTTGGCTTGTTCAGCACCTTCAGCTGGCTTGGCTTGTTCAGCACCTTCAGCTGGCTTGGCTTGTTCAGCACCTTCAGCTGGCTTGGCTTGTTCAGCACCTTCAGCTGGCTTGGCTTGTTCAGCACCTTCAGCTGGCTTGGCTTGTTCAGCACCTTCAGCTGGCTTGGCTTGTTCAGCACCTTCAGCTGGCTTGGCTTGTTCAGCACCTTCAGCTGGCTTGGCTTGTTCAGCACCTTCAGCTGGCTTGGCTTGTTCAGCACCTTCAGCTGGCTTGGCTCAGCACCTTCCTTAGGAGCTTCCTTCTGTTTTGATCAGCTGGAGCAGGTTCTCTCTTTTGGCTTATCACCCTGAGGAGCTTTCCTGTGGTTGAGCTGATGGCTCTTTCTGCTGTTCTGCTGGAGGCGCTGCTCCCTCTTTCGGTTGCTCGGCTGCCTTATCTGCAGCTGCAGGAGCTGCTTGCGATTGACCGGGCTCCACCTCTGCTTCCTTATCCTGATCGCCTGGTTCTTTCGCGGGCTCTGCTCCTCCTTGTTGTTGGGCTGGTGCAGCAGCAGCTTCGGCTGGCTTGGCTTGTTCAGCACCTTCAGCTGGCTTGGCTTGTTCGGCACCTTCAGCTGGCTTGGCTTGTTCAGCACCTTCAGCTGGCTTGGCTTGTTCAGCACCTTCAGCTGGCTTGGCTTGTTCAGCACCTTCAGCTGGCTTGGCTTGTTCAGCACCTTCAGCTGGCTTGGCTTGTTCAGCACCTTCAGCTGGCTTGGCTTGTTCAGCACCTTCAGCTGGCTTGGCTTGTTCAGCACCTTCAGCTGGCTTGGCTTGTTCAGCACCTTCAGCTGGCTTGGCTTGTTCAGCACCTTCAGCTGGCTTGGCTTGTTCAGCACCTTCAGCTGGCTTGGCTTGTTCAGCACCTTCAGCTGGCTTGGCTTGTTCAGCACCTTCCTTAGGAGCTTCTTTCTGTTGATCAGCTGGAGCAGGTTCCTCTTTTGGCTTATCACCCTGAGGAGCTTCCTGTGGCTGAGCTGATGGCTCTTTCTGCTGTTCTGCTGGAGGCGCTGCTCCCTCTTTCGGTTGCTCGGCTGCCTTATCTGCAGCTGCAGGAGCTGCTTGCGATTGACCGGGCTCCACCTCTGCTTCCTTATCCTGATCGCCTGGTTCTTTCGCGGGCTCTGCTCCTCCTTGTTGTTGGGCTGGTGCAGCAGCAGCTTCGGCTGGCTTGGCTTGTTCAGCACCTTCAGCTGGCTTGGCTTGTTCAGCACCTTCAGCTGGCTTGGCTTGTTCAGCACCTTCAGCTGGCTTGGCTTGTTCAGCACCTTCAGCTGGCTTGGCTTGTTCAGCACCTTCAGCTGGCTTGGCTTGTTCAGCACCTTCAGCTGGCTTGGCTTGTTCAGCACCTTCAGCTGGCTTGGCTTGTTCAGCACCTTCAGCTGGCTTGGCTTGTTCAGCACCTTCCTTAGGAGCTTCCTTCTGTTGATCAGCTGGAGCAGGTTCCTCTTTTGGCTTATCACCCTGAGGAGCTTCCCTGTGGTTGAGCTGATGGCTCTTTCTGCTGTTCTGCTGGAGGCGCTGCTCCCTCTTTCGGTTGCTCGGCTGCCTTATCTGCAGCTGCAGGAGCTGCTTGCGATTGACCGGGCTCCACCTCTGCTTCCTTATCCTGATCGCCTGGTTCTTTCGCGGGCTCTGCTCCTCCTTGTTGTTGGGCTGGTGCAGCAGCAGCTTCGGCTGGCTTGGCTTGTTCAGCACCTTCAGCTGGCTTGGCTTGTTCAGCACCTTCAGCTGGCTTGGCTTGTTCAGCACCTTCAGCTGGCTTGGCTTGTTCAGCACCTTCAGCTGGCTTGGCTTGTTCAGCACCTTCAGCTGGCTTGGCTTGTTCAGCACCTTCAGCTGGCTTGGCTTGTTCAGCACCTTCAGCTGGCTTGGCTTGTTCAGCACCTTCAGCTGGCTTGGCTTGTTCAGCACCTTCAGCTGGCTTGGCTTGTTCAGCACCTTCAGCTGGCTTGGCTTGTTCAGCACCTTCAGCTGGCTTGGCTTGTTCAGCACCTTCAGCTGGCTTGGCTTGTTCAGCACCTTCCTTAGGAGCTTTCTTCTGTTGATCAGCTGGAGCAGGTTCCTCTTTTGGCTTATCACCCTGAGGAGCTTCCTGTGGTTGAGCTGATGGCTCTTTCTGCTGTTCTGCTGGAGGCGCTGCTCCTTCTTTCGGTTGCTCGGCTGCCTTATCTGCAGCTGCAGGAGCTGCTTGCGATTGACCGGGCTCCACCTCTGCTTCCTTATCCTGATCGCCTGGTTCTTTCGCGGGCTCTGCTCCTCCTTGTTGTTGGGCTGGTGCAGCAGCAGCTTCGGCTGGCTTGGCTTGTTCAGGCACCTTCAGCTGGCTTGGCTTGTTCAGCACCTTCAGCTGGGCTTGGCTTGTTCAGCACCTTCAGCTGGCTTGGCTTGTTCAGCACCTTCAGCTGGCTTGGCTTGTTCAGCACCTTCAGCTGGCTTGGCTTGTTCAGCACCTTCAGCTGGCTTGGCTTGTTCAGCACCTTCAGCTGGCTTGGCTTGTTCAGCACCTTCAGCTGGCTTGGCTTGTTCAGCACCTTCAGCTGGCTTGGCTTGTTCAGCACCTTCAGCTGGCTTGGCTTGTTCAGCACCTTCAGCTGGCTTGGCTTGTTCAGCACCTTCAGCTGGCTTGGCTTGTTCAGCACCTTCCTTAGGAGCTTCTTTCTGTTGATCAGCTGGAGCAGGTTCCTCTTTTGGCTTATCACCCTGAGGAGCTTCCTGTGGTTGAGCTGATGGCTCTTTCTGCTGTTCTGCTGGAGGCGCTGCTCCTTCTTTCGGTTGCTCGGCTGCCTTATCTGCAGCTGCAGGAGCTGCTTGCGATTGACCGGGCTCCACCTCTGCTTCCTTATCCTGATCGCCTGGTTCTTTCGCGGGCTCTGCTCCTCCTTGTTGTTGGGCTGGTGCAGCAGCAGCTTCGGCTGGCTTGGGCTTGTTCAGCACCTTCAGCTGGCTTGGCTTGTTCAGCACCTTCAGCTGGCTTGGCTTGTTCAGCACCTTCAGCTGGCTTGGCTTGTTCAGCACCTTCAGCTGGCTTGGCTTGTTCAGCACCTTCAGCTGGCTTGGCTTGTTCAGCACCTTCAGCTGGCTTGGCTTGTTCAGCACCTTCAGCTGGCTTGGCTTGTTCAGCACCTTCAGCTGGCTTGGCTTGTTCAGCACCTTCAGCTGGCTTGGCTTGTTCAGCACCTTCCTTAGGAGCTTCTTTCTGTTGATCAGCTGGAGCAGGTTCCTCTTTTGGCTTATCACCCTGAGGAGCTTCCTGTGGTTGAGCTGATGGCTCTTTCTGCTGTTCTGCTGGAGGTGCTGCTCCTTCTTTCTCTTTCCTTCGGTTTTCTCGGTCTGTTCTTTTACTGAGTCTGTCATGGATCTGCTCGTATGCCGGTCCTACCCTGTCTCATCCTGATTTCCGTCCCTTCTTCCGGGCTTTTTGTGTTGTTCGGTTCTTTCGGAGGTTCTGCTCCTCCTTCTTGTTGAACTGGTGCAGCAGCAGCTTCGGCTGGCTTGGCTTGTTCAGCACCTTCAGCTGGCTTGGCTTGTTCAGCACCTTCAGCTGGCTTGGCTTGTTCAGCACCTTCAGCTGGCTTGGCTTGTTCAGCACCTTCAGCTGGCTTGGCTTGTTCAGCACCTTCAGCTGGCTTGGCTTGTTCAGCACCTTCCTTAGGAGCTTCTTTCTGTTGATCAGCTGGAGCAGGTTCCTCTTTTGGCTTATCACCCTGAGGAGCTTCCTGTGGCTGAGCTGATGGCTCTTTCTGCTGTTCTGCTGGAGGCGCTGCTCCTTCTTTCGGTTGCTCGGCTGCCTTATCTGCAGCTGCAGGAGCTGCTTGCGATTGACCGGGCTCCACCTCTGCTTCCTTATCCTGATCGCCTGGTTCTTTCGCGGGCTCTGCTCCTCCTTGTTGTTGAGCTGGTGCAGCCCAGCCTCTTTCTGCTGATCGGGAGGCTTTGCTTGTTCCGCACCCTCTTTCGGAGCTTCTTTTTGCTGATTCGCTGACGGCCCCTAGAAGAATGAAAATTTCTGATGGCTGTCAGTCTCGCAAAGAGATGTCATCTCTTGAAGTTTGAAAAAGGCTGTAGAGTGGTTATGGTTGTACGTCGAAGATTGTGTAGAAATAATCTCTTTGAGCTAAGTAGTGCATTGCGAATCACGACGGTAACGCACAGCCATAATAATCTGTATCTGAGTTTTCCTCGGCAATTCCTATACGGAAACGCTATAACATCTGTACAAATTTTCCGACCCACAAGTATGTATACTGATGACCAGCAATTCAACGAATGCTGATGTACAGGGTGAGGCATAATATGGTGAGAAAATTGAACTTTGAGAAAAGCAGTCAATCACATATTCGTCGAGCTATGAAAATCAAATCAAATTGGTCAAATCATTAGATTCGCCATAGTCTTCTATAATACTTACAGTTCAGCTATTCATGCCGCTTTACGCGCGCATGTCAAAGTAGGCCCCAGTAAACTTAGCGTAACCAGGCTCCCGTTTAAGCAGCGGGCATGCATTTAAAGCAACAGTCCAGGCAGGGTTTCAACCATTTGGTTTTCAAGTGGTGGAAACATGCCTCAGCCTGATTGGAGTTCATGGGAAATGTCACAAACTTCAAAACTTACCTCTGAAAGGCGTTGGAAGCAGTCGAAATCCTTCAAGAGGGGCGGATCCACCGATCCGTGGTGGGGCCGCCTCCAAGCAGCTGTGCAGAGCGCTTGCTCGACTAGCGGTCGTTGCGGGACCGCCGCGCTGTATGAGGTCGATTCCATAAGAACGCAATTGAAGCGCTTCAATTTCGATTGCTGGCAAATAGTTATGTATTTGCAAGCATGCATGGCTATTTGCCAGCAGTTGCAATTGGAGCGCATGTACTACGGGCAGGTTCGGACAACTCGTCCAACACACGTCTCCCTAAACGGCAGGGGGAGTCCCTGTCTAAGCCCCTGCCCGACGTTTTTTTCTACTTTTTCTTTCTCCATTGACCAACTTCTCACCTGCAACGTCATTATAGGTGGTCCTTACCCGCGAATTCGTTCCTGGATTGTTGCTTTAAGGCATTTACAGATTTGCTGGAAGCTTCATACGTCAATATCCATAAATATTGATCACTTTTCGAAAGTAACACGGTCCACGGGCTTGGAATAAGGAATGCAGTTACTGCTTACTGTCAGCCCTTAACGTAAACAACCACCATGCCTCTCGGATGTTGTGGCGTAAATATCAGCCGTGGTGGGTGGAGATATTGAATAATTTCTTATACCGGTGACATTGGAAAATAACACCATTGACAGTCGTATTTCCGCTAACACAGAGCATTTTAAGGAACTCGGACAAATTACCGGTCAAAAGGCTGTTGACGACGACATCGCGAACAGAAGGAAGTGTTTTTCTTGTCGAGCATTTGCAAATCTAGAGACTACCGCTTTCGAGCTAATCGCTCTTATCAGTCTTCATCAGCTGTTTTCTCGCTTTGTCACCCACTAGATGTGTACCCGTCCCGTTTCCTACATTAGATCTATAAGACAGTCCTTTGCTGCTGGGCTGTGTTATATATATTAGAATGGTTATATATAGCAGCTCTTCAACGATACATGTCATTTCAAATAAAAATCAGCAAGGGCGTTCGACAAGGTGATACGATTTTCGTATTATATTGTGCTCTCATGAACTCTGGAAGCCTCCTTCAGTGATTTTGTTTTTGTTCTTGATTGGACGGATGGCATAGAGATCGATGGAGAACGGCTGACTCATCTGCTGTTTGCCGATGATTGCGTTATTTTTGCACATAATGCTTTTGAGCTCCAACAGAAACTTGTGCTGCTGCAGAAGAAATCAAATGAAATTGGGCTTGAAATGAACTTGTTAAAAACCAAGTGGATGCACAATCAGTTCAGTCCTACAGAGACGATCAATGTAGAGATGGTGAAACGATTGAAGAAGTGAAAAGCTATAAATACCTAGGACACCAGCTCAGCTTCACTGAAGGCACTAAAGAGGAATACAGTAAACGCAGGAAAGCAGCATGGTCCAGCTTCAACAAAATCTCAAGGGTATTGCTAGACGATAACCCTCCCGATGAAACTGAAGGCATCTTTGTTTCACTCAACGGTGATACCTGCGTTGCTGTACGGCGCGGAATGCTGGTCGCCCACTAAAGCAGACGAAGAGAAATTTGCTGTGATGCAAAGGTCAATGGAACGCAGAATTTGCAAAGTGTCACTTCGTGAACATATCACAAACACAGAGTTGCGAAGAAGAAGTGGCCTTGTTGATGTTGTCTAGGAAATGTATAATCGTAAA